GGACCATGGACTCCTTCTACTTGCGGAAGGTCACGTAGGTTGCGTTGTTACAACTCGGACAACGGACATTGCAGCACATCTGAGAGAAAGTTCATGGACTCACTTATGGGCCATTCCCATCTGTACCGGGTCGGCCCGGGCCGGGTAGCCCCAGTCGGCCCCAGCCTGGCCGGGTTGATTCCACACATCCTTGCCTTAAGCCCATGTGGGCTGATTCTACCCACCAATCAGAGGCTTGCTCTGATGGAAGGTGTGAATTTGCTGTCAGCAGTGGGTGTGTTGGCCCTGGTCGGCCTGAAGCAGACCCCCTCGAGAAGAGGGCTGAGAATGAGCCTTGGTTGGCCCGGAAAAATACCAGGCCACCCAGATATGTAAACGACCTACGCTACCTGGCCCGGGCCGACCCGGTACAGATGGGAATGGCCCATTACACAGATACACACATGCATGTACATTCTCACATAACACACATGCACACACTCCCAGAATTTGTTGTGCATCCCTGAATCTTTCCTCCCATTTCCTGTGCAGTGGAGGTTGAAGGCCACGCTGATGAGTAGCTGCTGGTCTCCCTCGGATGCATGGGGATTCCCACCCCTCCAACCCACCTGTCATGGTGGGTGGCAAGTTCTTGACCCACGACATGCAGAATCACAACAAGGAGAACAGGTAAGTAAGTAAAGGGTTTTATTATTAGGTGAGGAGCAAAGGGCGAGACGGGAACCGACGAAGTGCAGGACTTGCAGCAGGATACCAGGAGGGTATTCTGAGGAGGGAGACAGAGTGAACATAAGGTGGAAGCAATGGAGACTTATCTGTAGGCTGGGCTTACTACGGTAGTGGTGAAATGTACAGGGAGGGTTAGGTCAGGTCCAGGTGAGCTGAGGAGTTCCAGGAGATGAGGGAATTGATTTATCCAGAGAAGTCGGAGTAGGGATGGCTGATGGCAGGTGAGCGGCTGAGAGCGGGTGGCCAGGGGATGAAGCAGTGTGGTCAGGAATGCAGAGATCCGGGGTTGTTCTGGAGATGATGAGGGATGAAGATGAACCTGGAGGAGAGCAGGGAAGGGCATTCAGGAACTTCAGGCGACAGATTAACATGAACAGGATACAAATATCAGAATCAGGTTGGTGGCTAGAGCTACCCAAACAGATTAATCATCCGGCATGGTGAAGTGTCACACTGCTCCCTAAATCCCATGGGACTTGATGGTGAGATCAGCTGCAGCTGGGAGCTCTCAGACACGCCCACCTGTGAAAACAATACTCAGAGGAAAAGAACAGGCTTACAAGCTGGCAGCTCACCACGGACCATGACACCACCTCATGTTTGATTATGTTGTGACGGTCTGAATATGTGTTACGTTCCGTGTCCTCATCTCCTGTGTCCCTTCATGGTTCCCCTCTTTGTTGTGTCATTCCAAAACCTTCTCACACCCAAAGCATCAAAATATGACGCGTGTGACCAAGCGTCAATATATGACGATTCGGGATGCCCCAGCGTGTCAGAAGACGATCAGGGACACACTGATGAAGCACCGTCCCAGAGCGTCAGTATCCAACGCCGGTGGTGAGACGGACTTTAGAACGACTTGTGAACTACTTAACACCCTAATCCTAACCTTAAGGTCACAGTTACTGACCTTAAGGTTAGGATTGGGGTGAGGAGAAGGTTAAATAGTCGAATAATGTCCGTGTGACTGCGGGCATCAAACACTGACGCCAGCGGGGCCACGTGTCCCTGCGTGTCCCTGATCGTCGTCTCCTGACGCGCTGGGGCATCCCGAATCGTCATACATTGACGCTTGGTCACACGCGTGAGAATATGTTGGTCATTCACTTTGACTTGGTATTTTATTATCCTCCTGCCTTTCAGTGTATTTAGTTCTGTAACTCTTTAGTTCATTGGTTTATTTAGCTTTAGTTATCCTGTGTCTTTATTTTTATAACGTTTAGGTTCATTTACGTTCAGTAGCTTTTGTTTTACAGGTTTTTAGGTTTGGTTTCCTCTCAGTTTGTTAGTCCCACCTGTGCCCAATTCTCTTAACCCTATAAGGCCCACTGTATTGTATGTGATACACACATTTCTAAGTTTGTGGCAGCTGTATCTCTTTAATAAGATTAGCATTTTCCAAAACAATCTGCAGTCTTAAATCTTTTAAGGGTATCCTGCCTGCTCATGGATCACTTATGCATTTAAGTGTCAAGTGGGATTTTTATTTAGTAAAGTCACTGTTGTATTATTATAGAATTGCTTGATATATTTAATATGGAATTTAATATTTGTTATATTATCATTACCAATCAAATGTTTAAACTTTTAATAAATTTGAGTCTTTTGAATAGTATTTAATGTGTTGGGTCTAAGACTCTGAGTTTAAGTTAGCTCTCAGGTTATTGAGCCTTTTTGGATTTTGTTTTTTTTCCTGACACTCCCCAAGAAGTTTAAAATTACTTGACAAAAAAACGACTTCCCACCACCATTGTCATGTGTTGAAAAAACATAAATTACTGAACTTCAATAACTTAATGAAACTTAAAAGAGTCTGTTTAATATATAAAGTCTTACACTCCCTTGCTCCACCACCACTAAAGCAGTTCATTAGGCATAAAGAAAGCTCAAACAGGACTACACGAGCTACAATTCGAGGAGAAATGTTTACACCACATAGACGGACAGCATTTGGGCAGAACATCCTGTCTGTCAAGGGTGGCTATCTGTGGAACAGTCTTCCTCAACCCATTAGAGAATGCTCGACTTTCAATTTGTTTAAGGCAAAGGTTAAAAACTATTTATGGACAAATCAAGTGTGTGATCATGTATGAGTTGTATAGTTTCAATGTTTTATTTGTGAATAGAATGGTGTGTATGTGTAAGTTTGATGATGGGTTTTTTAATATGAATGAATGATGAATTTTTATGAATTATTAAGTCTTTATATGTCTAAGGACAACAGGTGGAAATTAGCCTTTGGCTATAATCTGGCATGTTTACATTCATGTGAGCTGCTTTTACATTTATGTTCATTAACATGCACTTTCCTAAATAAATAAATAAATAAATAAATAAAAGCATTTGTTTTTTCTACACCTCGTCCCTCTGTGTCGTTCTGAGTATCTGCATTTTGGGTCCAAACCTCCTCCAAGCATGACAATATGTGCTTTTATGTTTGAGGTGTTTTTTCCCACAAGTGTGGGTGTGTGTTTTGGTTCTCCCTCATGTTACCCATTTTTATTTATCTGCATAATAAGAGCGTTATAATGGCTGCATGCCCACATTTAAACCATTCACCAGTCTACGTGTTTCATGTGCTGTATATCTGATCTGGGAACGGGTATTCTGAAACTACACTTCATTCCAGGATGTTCCACGACAAAGCTATCCTTATCCTTATATAAAAAAACTTCATATATTGTATAATTTTTGCTAGTACCTTACATCTGCATGTAATATGTAAATTAACTGCTTTGGTTAGATATTTTCCCACCTGAGAAAATCTACATTTTCTAAAAAAATTATTACAGGTGCATCTGAAAAATTGTGACACCGTCACAGACATGTAATGAATGTATGCAAAAGTAAATGAGATGTTCTCAGCTAAAATCAGCACCAAGAAGCTGTTCCCCTCAGATTCAGGTATGTATGTATGTGACACCAAACTGTTAATTCAGTGCATAAATATGAATTACTGCTGTATTCAGTCGGTATTTTAAATGCAAAAACATCTAATTATATTTTATTTATTTTAGTCTACAATGAGAAAATACACAACAGCATCACAAAACACAAGTATCATCAGTTCTGCAACCCTTCAGGAAGCTGTTTGAGGGTCATCAGATTGTTTGTTGCTATGAAACGTAACATTGTTGTTTTATTTTAAACATTTTGGACATTTGGATGGTTAGCCTATTTGACCTGACCAGAGCCCTCTTCCTCTGCTGCCTTTCTTTTTTTTTTATACTTGAGCAGGCTCATCTGAAATTGTGACCTGTGGTTAATATAATGTACAATGTGATGCATAGGTGCATTGTTCAAGCTAACCAGTTTCAACATCATTACCCTATGATAGTGCACAGCTAACTAGAGGACAGCGGTGATGGTTCATCAACTAAGATTTCTGAAATATAACAAAACACAGCTTAAGTAAACTCTACATTTATTATATTATTTTTAATTCAAATGAGCAAAGAGCTACTGTTGATGAATGATAATGATTTTCTGTGACATCATGACCCTTTTTGTGCGTGTTATTTTATTTCTGTCAAAACAAACTACCAACTAGAACTGTAGCTCCTGGGAGTTCCTTACTTCCTGTGCTAATGATCCTTCAAGATGACGATTAATTATCTGATCTTAAGTTAAAGTAATGTAAAGAACCAGATCCCATTTAATGTCTTTTGAAATTCCAGAGTGTAACAGAATGTTGTATCGATAAAACAAACAAAAAAACCTCACTTTGTTGATAGGAATCTCCTATTCCACCACATCCCAAAGGTTCTGGACAGGTCGTTTGAGTCCAGTGAATCATGTCATGTTCTAGAAACCACTTATAGAAGATCTGCTAGCCATCAGAAGACGAGTCTGTGTGGTCATAAAGGGATGGACATGGTCAGCAGCAGTAGACGGGTGTTGAAATCAGGCTCAGGTGGCACTACGGGGTCCAAAGTGGAACAAGAAAAATCCTAAACCTTTACAGTCAGCAGCCTGAAGCATTGATTTAAGGCAGGATGAATCCCTGTTTTCATGTTGGTGACACCAGATTCTGACTTGATCATCTGAATGTTGGAGCTGAACTCCAGACTCATCAGACCAGGAACGGGTTTCCAGTCTCTTCTGGTCCAGTTCTGGTGATCCTGTGAGAATTGTAGCCTCAGTTTCCTGTTATTAGCTGACAGGAGAGACACCTGGTGTGGTCATCTGCTGCTGGCATGCTGGCATTCAGAGATGCTGTTCTGCAGACCGTTGTAGGAACCAATGGTTATTTAAGCTACTTTTTGTTGTGAGCTGGGAGGTGAGCACTCCACACACACCATGACATCACCTGGCTTGTGAGTTCTGTTTTCAGGAGAGAGAGCAGCAGCTGCAATCAATCAGCTGATCAGTGGGTGGCCTTCATAAGGAGGACGGAGGACACTGCTAAGCCGCCGGATGATTACGCCTACTGGTAGAGTCCCAGCCACAGTGTTAACTCGATTTTGAAACCTTGACTTTGAACTGTCGGAACTTAGACTTTGAACTTTGAAACCTTAGCCTTGAACTTTAGAAACGTGTTTTTTGCTAGCGATCTTTTGCTCAGATTTTGTTCTCGTTTTGTCTCAGGCTCAGTCATCTTTCCATACACCACCTCCTCGCTGAGACCTTTTGGATTTACTACTCGACCATACTACGTCTGGACTTCACTCCCGGTTCCCGTCCTCCTCACGGCACTAACTGCTCCCAGCACTACAGGCTCTCTCTCTCCTTCCCTCCGGTTGTAAAACCTTGCCGATCTTCATCACCCCGGAATACTCATTCACTCTCCCAGCTCACCCCTCCCTGGAGATCCTCCACCACGCTACAGCTGTAAGTCCTCCTACCAAACTCATCCTCTACCACACTACAGTTTCAATCAAGGACTCACCTCTGTTTCCCTTCCCTCAGACGCTGCTCCCGTTTACCCATTCACTGGATTTCCAGTGCACCCTAAGTTCTAGTTACCAAATAAATCTTTATTTTTTCACATCCTGCTCCAGTGTGTTGATTCTGCATGTCTTGGGTTAAATCATTACCTCAGACCATGACACTTTTGCATTTCCAGCATCTTAACCAGTCTACCCACTCTACTTCTGGGAGCTCTGGAATCAAGAAGAAAATGTTAATCATCAAGCTCATTTTTTACCAGTGGCTTAAAAATAACAAATGGAAAATTCTGTATATTTCAGTAGCTCTTACGTAAATACATATATTCATTCATTCATTCATTCATTCATTCATTCAAACTGTTGTGTACTTGTCATTTGTTCAATAAAGTAATTTTAAATTTTGTCCCATTTCATCAAAATCAGAGCTGCTCGGGGTCTTCCTTTATCACCTGGTACTTTTGCTTTTGTTTTACATTTCCTTTGGCAATAAAAACACATTTTTCCCATAAAATGATTTTTAGTACATGAGTCGGCACACATAAACACACACATGGCGTACCCCAGTGACTGAACATGTATTTTAGAACAGATATTTTTGTTATATGTTACAAAGCTGCCAATATTACTCAATAACTGGACATCATTTTATTCATTTTCAACAACATTTTGATTAATATTTGCAGAGATTAAAGGGAAAAACGACACATTGTCTCTTTAATGCTGCCACTTAAGCTCCTGATAGTTCTGATCGGGGTTAATAAAAACCTCACATATGCGTTTAAAAGGTTTAGCCAGAGTTTTGAATTTGATAAATTGTTAAATAAATTCACTCGACTGAAGCAGCAGCTTTGATAAGAAGTCATGATGTCACAAAATCATCACAAACCATCTTCACACAGCGGGCCAGGCCTTGCAGCTGAAACCCCAACATGTGAAGTTCTCCACCCTTGGGCGGATTCATCTCTCCCTGGAGTGCGCTACGACATCACATGTTAAAAATGAAAGGGCTTTTGAGTGAGTCAGTGTAGTTCAGCCGCTGTGCTCACCACCTCGCCCCATTACCATAATGATGACTCAGTTCTGTTCTTTCCAACTCCACCCTGTCCAGTCCTGTCTCAGACCTTCATTTCCATGCTCTTTCCTCTCCTCTGTTGCCTTTCTATCCACTCTCCTGTCCTTCATCACCTCGTCTTCTATTCTTAGACTGCCATGCCAGCCACCTCTGCCTTCCTCACATAAACTTTACTTTCCCTGCCTTTTACAGGGAGCTGAAATGTATTTTAGTTTTTCTTTTTTGATAAGAAATGAAAATCCTCTGTCCTTAGGTGGCTCAGGCCCATTAAACTGACTTGATGGAAGCCGACCAGGTGTGTAACCAAGCTGTTCTACACTCAACCAGCTTCACATTTCTTCACCTGCCTCAACAATCATGTGCAGAACCTGCAAACAGAACATATTCTCAGGCCTTGTACTACAACAATTCAAAATATATCTGTGACAGCTAAGACCTTTATCTTTTTATCATTGCATTAACAGGACACTAGTCTGTAATGTGTCATATTCCAATAATGCCCCATAATTGAAATGCAACCTTTCATTTTGTTTAAAAAATTCAAAAAGGAAATGAGGATCAATGAGTGGTAATATACCTTTTTTGTGACCAGTGTGGGTTTTATTAAAGCAATCAGGAAACGTCAGTTTAAATATCACCCAAAAGTGTTAGAAGGCAGAAACTCAGCCAGATGTGTCAAGCCCAGGAGCAAAAATGCAAGCTGTTTTCAGTGAAGCATCAAGGTCAAATCTGCGACCAGTTTCAGGATATCCAGATTACATATCAGTGAATTTAAATAACGATTCAGTTGGGTTTGACAGCATCTTCAGTGAAATTCATGTGTCTTAATGAAGTAAAAAAAAACTACATTTACATATATGAAATACTGACATTTACCTGTAGAAGTTAGAGCCTCCACCAAAAGGGCAAAGAAGAAAGTAGACATCCTGATATAGTGACATGAATGGCCTCATTTGTCACCCAAAGGTCACACTTCCTCAGGTGGGTCAAGCTGTCCTGGCTGTACTTCTATCTACAGATTATCCATCACAGGAGACACAACGTCTGCTGTAAACCATCTTTAATCTGACTGCTGTTCCATCCGCAAGACGAAGGACACTTCAAGATTTAAAAGAATCATTTTTAATAAACTCTTTTCACTGTCTATTACAAGCTTCATAAATGTAGAGAAATAGAGTGATGAAACTATCTAGAGTTGTATTTTAATATACTGTAAGTAGATCACTTGTTATAATCAGAAGATGGGCTGTTTTTATCATCAGGGAGTTTAATTAAACACTCTGTATTGACTTTGAGACAAGAAAAGAGAGAGAGTTGGGATCGTTTAAGAATCTTTAATTTCTTAATTATAAATTCTTAACAATCTACCAGGACTAACTCTGTGTTGTTTGGAAATGAATGTGATGTTTGACGTGTGTGTGTGTGGTTGGTTCAGACTCCTTAGGCTGACGTCATTGAATCTGGTAGTCTGATTGTTATGACTAGATATAACGAGGCTTATAAAGTGATGACATGAGCTGCTATTTTGCCGTGTACGTACCCAGTGGGGGCCTCCCAGGTAGATCAGGAAATGCCAGGTCTGAAGACCTCGGATGTGCGCTGGAGCTGGTCGAAACAGCGATCGCAGCGTTTCAAAGCCCGTCTGAAGGGTCGACCCAGGTAACAATCGGCAGCGGCAGCAGGTGCTCTTATTTTGAAAGGATGTCGTCTGGTTGTTAAACGACGAAAATCTCCAACTTCACAGTTCTTAGTTTAAAGAAGAAAACACATCTGGCCAGGCTGTGCTTCTCTTTGGGATGACGGTGAATAGAACTGAAGTCAAAATGGAACTGAGCTTAAAATGGCGTTGCCTTGTTTTATATCTCTGAATTGTTGATAAGTTTTAGTAAAGCGGATTGGACACTTTAAGTCAACAAGCCAGATTCTCTTGCGGCAGCTGAAGGCTCTGATTGGTTGGAGCAATGTGTCATGCGTTGCCATGGGGATGAGTGTCAGTCTGTCTGTGCATGTCGTCCTGTTTACTCATTAAACACATAAATCGTGACATCTTTATTTCACAGATCATTCACTTGATTATTATTGATCAACATATGTTTTGCTTAATTTTTAATCACAAATAAAGTACTTTGATTAAGTAAAAGCGTTCTTCTTCCTTCTTCTGGAATGTAAACAGTCTGAGGATCAGACGACCTTGGCGTTTTCTACACGGGTGTAAATGTGTACAGGGGCAGCGTTTAGGACAGGGGTATACAAATACTATTTAAAAAGGTCCAGTCAGAAAGAATTTTTTTAGCCCAAGGTCCGAAAGATCATTATGTCCGACCTACAATAGTGTGACATGTATTTAAGTATCCTAGCAGTTTTATCAACATCTGCATTATTAATTTGCATATCAAATCAGAAATACTTCAGTGTAATTCAAATACTTATGACATTTATTGTCACTTAAAGTGTTGAACATGTAAATGATTTATTTGGAATGTTCTCTCATTTACTAAATAAAAGTAGAAAAAAGTGTCAACAAGAAAATAACACATGGCAACTGAATCTTCACAAACTACTAACTTCAGAATAAATGTAGAAAAAGCTTAATTTTTTACATTTTTCCTCTTCACGTGCGAACTAAAAAGTCTTAAAATAATTTTAAAAAATGTGACTCTGCACACATGTAATAACTGAACATATATTTAGGTTAATGTTTTCCACATTTTTACTTAGTGAGAGAAGTGAGCTCTTGCTTGTCCTGCCAACATTTTGAACCTGGGCTTGAATGGAGACAGAGCCATCCTCATGCATGTGTGGAGATGCTCATTGGTGAGCCTGGAGCGATATTTGTTTTTTATAATGTTCATTGTGGAGAACGCTGCCTCACAGTTGTGGGTGGAACCAAACATGGTCAGGATGTACAAGGCTACTTTCTTTAGATGTGAGAAAGCTGTCTCAGGAACCATTTGGAGCCATAATGAGGACGGGTCAGTCCTGGCAGACAGTTCTTTCATGGCCACGTTTGCTTGGAGGTCAACTAACTCCATCTGAAGATCCCTGGCATTGACCCATTTAAAATGCTGTGTGGCTTCCTTTGAGAAGCTCCTGACATCTGTGATGAGGAATGGGTTCTGAATGAACATGGTGAGCTGCTGGCCAATGCTGAAGCTATCAAAACGATTGCTGAAGTTAGCAATAAGTTTATCAATGAAGACAACAAACGACGAGACATCTCGCTGTCCCTGAACCTGTTCCTGCACTGCTGGGAAGTGGACACAGTCTTCCTGCAAGTCCTCCTTGAACATTTCAAGTTTTCTCTGAAAGGCACGGACAGCTGTCATTAGTTCACAAATGGAATTGTCCTTGTCCTGTAGCCTCAAGTTCAGTTCGTTTAGATGTGAAGTTATATCAACCAAAAAGGCAACATTGTCCATCTGCTTCTCATTTTCTAGAAATGTAGAAAACTGTGTTGCCTTATGATGTTTTAGCTCTGCCAAAAAAGATGCTACTTCCCTCCTGATGGCCCAAAAGCGTGCTAAAACTCTGCCTTTGCTGAGCCATCTCACATTGTTGTGCAGCAGAAGATCATCAGCATTGGCATCAACTTCTTTGAGGAATTCTCTAAGCATGCGATGCTGGTAGGAAGAGGACGCTCTAAGAAAGTTGATCATTTTCATCACTGAAGTCATCACCTCAGCATGCTCATCTGACAGGGAGGCACAGAGGACAGATTGATGAATAATGCAATGGTAGGTTAAGAGGTCAGGGTTGTCTTTCTTCATTCTTGTTACAGCTCCCTTTTCTTTCCCTATCATAGCAGGGGCTCCATCTGTAGTTATTGAAATCACTTTTGAAGGCTCAATTCCTCTCTTTGCCAACATCTCCATAATGGCCAGGTAGATGTCCTCTCCTGTTGTGCTGGTCTGAAGAGGAGTAATACCCAGCAGGTCTTCATAGAATGCTTTCTGCTCTGCGTAATAAAACCTCACATAAACCAACAGCTGAGCATTATCACACACGTCAGTGGACTCATCCACAGCC